GATATTATATAGCAAATATAGCTCAGCGTCTTTTGCGCGCGCCGAATGCCCACCGTGCGCAGTGGCCTTTACACGTGTTTTTGTTATCTCGGCGCGTGACTGGCAATCGGCGCGACCGGTTATTCCCCCGCAACGGTTATTCCCCGCAGAAAAATCGATGTTTACTCTAGGGTATATAAGGTTAGTGGAGCGAATATTGGAAAGGCGATTGAGAGTTGTGCGAAGTGCGAAGCGGTGAGTATACTGACTAGGACTAGCTTCTACTAAGCATAGTTCTATGACTATATTATGGCGTTCGTTGCGTTTATTATTAGGTTACGGTGACATTGTACCCTTTGTATCCTATGCTTTCTACCTTGTACATTTAAAATTGTAATTGTAATTGTAATTGTAATTGTAAATATTCCGACACTTCCTAATGTTTCAACCGGTTACGTGCGTGAGACATCCCGTATTGGTACATGTCCGGTTGTGATAGAGTTGCCAAATTTGTTCATTGATACCCTGAAAACCAAAGGTCATAGCGATTGTGATAGCGATAGCGATAGCGATAGCGATCATAGCGATAGCGATTGTCAAGAATAACTGTGAGTTAGTTTGTTTCTGCGATATAGACATTGTATTTGAATGTCATTTACCATATTTACTAAATTCATTGCTTCATATAGCAACCGAGAAACATTTTCTGAGACAAGTTATTGAAAGACATTTATATGGCAGACGACACGAAAAAAGTAAGTATATCTAGACTGTCTATTACACTGTAAGTTACCATTGAATCAATGCACTGCATTAGCTACAGTACATACAGCAAGTTTCAGCTAGTAGACAATAGAATAAACAATGCACGTTGCAGTCAGCAATACTGTAGCTAATGCAGTGCATTGATTCAATGGTAACCATAGTGGTAACCATTGGTTAACCAAATTTTAACCAGTATTAATGGCTATACCATCACAAATCAAGAATAAACAGAGAATAAACACATATGTTGTTATCTACTCCTGATAATGGGAATAATTCAACTATCCCCCTCCTACTCCTCCTCCCCCTACTCCATCACCTTCTCCCCCTCCTCCTCCTCTTCCTCCTCCTCCTCCTCCTCCTCTTCCTCCTGCCCCTACTCCTCTTCCATGATCGTCTTTATTCGATCTCCATTACCTTCTCCGCTCCTCCTCCTCCTCCTCCTCTTCCTCCTCCTCCTCCTGCCCCCTACTCCTCCTCCATGACCTTCTTCATTCGATCTCCATCACCTTCTCCGCTCCTCCTCCTCCTCCTCCTCCTCCTGCCCCCTACTCCTCCTCCATGACCTTCTTCATTCGATCTCCATCACCTTCTCCGCTCCTCCTCCTCCTCTTCCTCCCCCTACTCCATCACCTTCTCCCCTCCTTCTCCTCCTCCTCCTGCCCCTTACTCCTCCTCCATGACCGTCTTCATTCAATCTCCATCACCTTCTCCGCTCCTCCTCCTCCCCCTCCTCTCCTCCTCCTCCTCCTTCTCTCCCCTACTCCATCACCTTCTGCCCTTTTCTTCCTTCTCCTCCTCCTCCTCCCCCTCCTCCCCTCATCCTCCTCCTCCTGCCCCTACTCCTCCTCCATGACCTTCATTCGATCTCCATCCCCTTCTCCGCTCCTCCTCCTTCTCCTCATCCTCCTCCTCCTCCTGCCTCCTACTCCTCCATGACCTTTTTCATTCAATCTCCATCACCTTCTCCGCTCCTCCTCCTCCCTCTCCTCCACTC